CCCCTTCAGTGGGAACTGGAAAGGGTGGTGCGAGAGGCTCAAGCCCAAGAGCCAGACCCAGGAGGTGGTCCCGCGGGACACCTGTACGTCCCTCAATCTGCCCGGGCCCGGGTCTTGCAGTGGGGTCATGAGTCTCCCTTGACGTGCCATCCGGGAAATGCTCGCACTCTTGACTTCCTCCAGCGGCGGTTTTGGTGGCCGTCCATCAAGGAGGATGTAAAGGTCTATGTGGAGGCCTGCCCCGTGTGCAGCCAGGGAAAGTCTACACATCAGCGACCTCAGGGACTGCTCCATCCCTTACCCGTTCCCCGTAGGCCATGGTCGCACCTTTCTCTGGACTTTGTCACGGGACTCCCACCATCCCAGGGCAACACTGTCATCGTGGTGGTTGTGGACCGGTTCTCTAAAGCCACCTGGTTCATTCCCCTGCCCAAATTGCCCTCGGCCAAAGAAACAGCAGAGCTCCTCATGAACCATGTATTCTGGGTGTTTGGAATTCCCCTGGATATTGTCTCCGACTGAGGGCCCCAGTTCTCGTCTCGGTTCTGGGGGGCCTTCTGCAAGCTGATCGGTGCCACGGCCAGCCTATCGTCTGGGTTCCATCCAGAGTCTAATGGCCAGACGGAACGGATTAATCAGGATCTGGAGACCACTCTGCGGTGTATGGCGGCCAATAACCCCACCTCTTGGGCTACCTACATCATGTGGGCTGAATATGCCCACAACACCCTCCAGTCCTCGGCCACTGGACTATCCCCCTTTGAATGCCAGTTCGGCTTTACCCCCCCATTGTTTCCTGAGGAAGTGTCACAGGTTGGCGTTCCCTCGGCCCAGCGTTTTGTCCAACGCTGTCGGCAGACCTGGAGGAAGGTTAGGCGTGCCCTTCTTCAAACCTCCCAGAGATACCAACGTCACGCTAATCGCCGCCGCCGGACGGCCCCTAATTTCCGAGCTGGTCAAAGAGTCTGGTTAGCCACCAAGAACCTGCCCCTCAGGGTCGAATCAAGGAAGCTTTCCCAGAAATACATTGGCCCTTTCTGCATAGCAAGGAAAGTTAACCCTGTTTCCTATCGTTTGTTTCTTCCCCGTTCACTTAGAATTAACCCCACGTTTCATGTCTCATTACTAAAACCTGTCTTGTCTTCTCCTTTTGCCCCCCCACGCAGACCCCCTCCACCTCCCAGGATCATCGATGGCCAGCCAGCCTACACAGTCCGCCGGATACTGGACTCCCGGAGGGTCCAGAACTCACTGCAGTATCTGGTGGACTGGGAGGGCTACGGGCCGTCAGGAGCCGTTCCTAGAGGAGGGGGTCCTGTCAGCATCCTACCTCCTGTAGTTTGTCTCCGTGCCTCTAGAGGTCCCCTGTTTTTTCCTCTGCCTTAGCTCTTCCTCGTGTGGCCTATTTAGCGTTATCCAAGTCACCTGCGCCTTGTTTTCCCCAGTGTATTTAAGTGGTGTATTTTTCCCTTGGTTCCTCACTCGGTTTTTGAGTCTTCGCCCTGTGTCTCCTGCCTGGTCTCGCTAAAGCCTCTCTAGCTACCCCAAGTAAGGTTTCCTGAGTTTCTTTCTTTGGTTGTAATTGTTCTCTGGTTTTGTTTTCTCCCCTCGTGGAGTTTTGTTTTCTCATGTGGTTTTTCCATTATTTTTGCTGTAGTTAATACCTCAGTCCGAGAAGACCTTTTGTTGTATTTTTCTTGCAAAGACTTTTTTTTTTAAAATAAATCTACATTTCGTGGGATACTGCCTCAAGTGTTTCGTTTGGGTCCAACATAACCACTCCTGTGGCTTAGCGGTAGATCTCTCAACTACCACACCAGAGACCCGAGTTCAAGCCTGGCTCGTGACAATATATTTTGCTGACTTGTGTACTTACATTATCCCAAATGTTTCGAAGATTGTTTAAATCCAGAGAAATAGCAATTTTAAATAGTGGCTCGTCCCTGGTCATTGCGTTGCCTGCCAATGACGTCATACACCCTCGATTTCCGGTTTTGTTTTGTAGAAAACATGGAAACACCAAAGACACTTTAATGTGTTATGCGTTTTATTAGACAGGTGACGACCGCACAGAGTAGCATTATAACAGAACTTTCAAATGTATCTAGTATGATAAAACAGCACTGCTTTACCCCACATACGCATGACTGGAAGGAGCGGAAGCTATCGACTGTGGCATAATAAAAGCTCCGCTGCTTTCGAGCCGTGTGTCACACTCATCTCTCATTAGCAATCGCTTCAGCAGCCTCGTTTCGACTGCTTTCAGCCTCACCCTGCTTCATACTATGATGTTAATAAATCTTTAATACATTAGCTTATCCATGAACATGATTTCTGCCCAAGTCCCATCGGATTGCATCGGCTATGGGGATGAAGACGACAACTTCCATGATTCCACACTCAGTCATCCAACTACACCTTTGTTTGTTTGTTTGTTTGTTTTGAATACGCGCCCTCTATCGGCGAAAACTTACACATTGTGCCTTTAAAAGACCTTCAAAATGATATATGATTTGTTGGAATCGGACGAAAAATGACTGAGCTACACCCATTTGAAGTCGAAAAAGTCAGCAAAGTCAGTTCTGAGAAAAATCTATTTGAAGTTTTCTGAAGGTTCCAAAGTAAAATCACCTAGTAACGTTGCATTGTTTCCCCCACTTCTTTTCTCAATATTAATTACTATATTAATATTTACAATATAGCCATTTTTATTTTATCTTTGCTATTAAAAATAAGAAGAGATGCAAAACAACAACATTAGAAAAAAGATGAGAAAAAAAGGCATAGTTCATAATTTTTATTTTTATTTTACCTCTTTTACATTTATCGGGATTGCGTGCTGGCGGAAGCGCCTTTATGTGCACAATACGTATATCAGTCAGCGGCGCAAGAAGCGAGCAGAGAAAAAGGTACTCCTCTCAGAAAATTTACAAACAAAGATAATTTTAGATGTTTAATTACTATTTGGAGCATTGGAATCACTAGACGAGGGCTTAATAAACTAATTTTTGTGAAAACCTGAAATTTGACCAAAATCGACATTTCTCACCTTTTTTTTCCTCTGTAGCTCAAAATTAGCCTGTGCGTGCGCATTCCTAGTCATTTTGCCAGCACGGGTCACATTTTTTCACAAGACTTTTGAGAACTGGATGTGGTAGTTTTTGATATAAAATTATGTAAAAATTATCCTTGAACAGTAACACACCTTTGTGCCATTGCTGACAACAGATCCTGTTGAAATGTTTAAGTACATTTTTTTTAAATTTATTAATTGTGATTAATCGTGATTAATCCCACCTAACATTAAAGTTAATGTATAAATAAATGAATGTAGAAACAACATAAAGACAGTATTTTTATATTTGTTTAGTGGCATATTTTCTATGACTGAAGGCGAGTATCACTGATTTCAATGATGTCCCTATATGATTGTTTTTCCCCCCTTAAAATTTAACCATTAACTATAGCCATTCAACATTACAGTATAATCGAGAGCTATCAATTTTAACATTTAGTTTAACATAGACTTAAAAATAAAAACTTTTAATTTAAGTGAACTTAAAACAATCTTCACATATAGCCATTATAATAAATGTCATATTTAGATACCTGTGCCCTTTGGCAAGTAGGAAAAATACAGAAATTGAATAAAGTTATCAAATACTAAATTCTAAATTAAATATAGATGAATCCTTAAAGCTTGTTTTTTTTTTTCTTTTGTTCTTTGATTAACAGACATCACAGCAGCTGGGTTATTAGGTTATTCTGGCTGCTTTAATAGCTGCCGTTGATGAACATGACGCAGATCTTACACTCATTGTATTTTCTATTTACCTTTTCTGACCCACGTCAGGTCTTAAATTTCCCACTAATGAGTTGACGAGTTAAATCAGTTAGATCAGTGTTATATGAGGGAGACAGTGCTACAGTGCTCCAACCACTGCATTTCAGAGACATATTCTTAAATTTGACTTACATATAATGGATGCCCAGTTTTAAGTCAGCTTTATTCACTTTTTTGGTAACTTCATGACTTAACCGACGACATAATTACGAGCATGCAATGTCGTAGTTTCATTTGCGCTTTAACCCCTTAACTGTGGTGAGCGTGATTTGACAAAGTACAACATGTTCCTGGATCGACATCCTTGTCCAATCAACCATTTAGAATTGAAAGATAACTTTTCAGGAAATGTAAGTTTTAGGCTTACAATCAGGATTAGGTGCTCCTACACCTTTGTTAATAAGCTATCATTTTCCTTTGATTTTAGGAATAAATTATGGGTAAGGTTAGGTTTAGGGGTAGGGATTGGGTTAAGTCTGTATTTTTGGACAGTAATGTTGATCCAGGATCAACAAAAGATGTTGATCCAGGAACATGTCTTGGCAAAATCACGGCGACCCTTAACTGTCATCCCCATTTTTGAAAATTCACGTGAAAGTGCACTATCCAAACTTCAATTATTATAATTCATGAACGCTTTTGAATACAGACCTAAGGTTGGTCTCTTTTTAGATAAGACAATTAGCAGATTATTACAGAAGTGAAATCATTTAATAAAATGAAAGTATTAAAAAGTTATAGACGTTTAAATTTACTATAAAGAAAATATACTATTTTCCTTTATTTTATATAAAATAAATAGTTAAAAAAATAGTTAAAAAAACTAAATTTCTATCAAATTAAAGCCATATGTCTACATAAGTTGTGTTCCAAATTTTAAGTTGATATATATATATATAAAGAGGTTCATATGCAATTTTGTTTAGGTGTTATGGTGTTAGGTGTTTTTTTTAATGCATTTCTGTCACAAATCTATCCATTTCTCTGCTAATATTAAGTCTGTCACCAAATATGGACTCTTGAGACTCAGACCTTTCCAACGATATGTATTTTGTCAACATTATAAAAAGTTTTGATTCTAAAAGATTGTAATACATTTTGTAATATGACACCCCCGCTAAGGGGGAGGAGACCGCTAAAAGATTTTGAAGTACCATTTCTATGGTAACGCAATATGATTTCAAAATGGTTTTGACAGGATGAATTTTGAGATTTTAAGCTTTCAAATAGTATATAACTTATGATGATTACTAAAACATGTGATAGGGAAAACCGCAACGAAATAAAGACTTTTTGTGACAAAGGTCTGAACTCCTGTTATGATGTAGATTTGTCATAGAATCTTGGTGCACTCTTGTCATAAATGAATCTATTACTGTTCCTACATAATTTGTAACAAAGAAAAAAGGTAAAATATATATTTAGGAGTCTTAGACTTTTAATGATATATAGTTTGTCATGATTACATTAGGATTTGATTGTAATATAGTGAAGTAAACTTATTTGAGGAAACAGTTAAGGTATGATACAGCAATTTAATATTACAGTGTTCTGCCATATTTGTGAGTGCAATTGAAGAGCCCGTGCTACGATCACAGTAGCTGACTGGACAGGAAACTTCGTTTTTACTGACATAGCCTGACAACATCTCATCTGACTGCAGTTCACTGTCATTCTACTGAAGCTGCCTCGTCACCTGTACCTTTTCCTCACTCGTTTGACTAGCGCCTGGCGCTGAGGTGAAATGGAGTACTTGTCTGAAAAGTGTCCTGTTTGATGTGGTCATTAAGACATTCTGCATCTAAATAAACAATTATTTTTAAGAAAAAAAAGACAGAAGCATCAGTTGTGAGTGGAGTGGCCAAACCTAGCTCCGCCCCTGCGTTAATTGCATTAAACATTAACGCCTTTAAACTGAAAAAAAGAATAATAGCATGCATTAATGCACTAATTTTGAAAGCATAAGCAGAATAAGAGCTTTTTAGTCATTATAAAGGGAGTGTCCTTTGTGCACTTTCAATGCATAATATATGGCTATATATATAATCAATTCAGAATTTGAATACAAGTTTTTTTTTATTTTTTTTATAAAGGTTTTGCATGCTGCTAAGAGGATCAATGGCCATGTACATTGCAAAGTTTTGAAAGTGATATTCTCATAAAAAAATGAGATTCACTCTCAGAAATGCTGTGATTGGCGTAATGATAATAGTATTGGACAGGACAAAAAGAAATGTCAAAATATATGTGCATTAAGCTAATTAAGTAAATGCAGGCTAATAGAGTAACAGAAAAAAAAATCATCTAAATATTTTGTATCAAACTATGTTTGAAAAGCTGTTGCAATTATTAATTATTAAAACATAATACAATCGAAATCTTGTAAATCTCTCACTGTACATTACTTTTCTTGTTATGGTGGTGCTTAGGAGCCATACAACTGTAGTGTTTGTTTAAACATTACAGCTGCACT